CGTTATGGATTTTGGGGGGTATAAAAATTATTATAAGACAGGAGAATCATTATAGAACAGGAAGTTATTGATTCGACCCGTTGAACGGGTCACACCCGCATGAATGCATTCGCCAGCAAGCCACCCACAACTACGCACCCCACTTCGGGAGCGAGCGAAGCGAGCGACCAACAACGCGACTACTAGTTCAATTCTTTTTTTGAATTTTTTTTTTGAATTTTTTTTTCATAAATCGATTCTAAATTCTCAGACATTTTTAAATTTTCGAAAATTATTCCCACATAAATTTGAATTCGTCAAAATATATATGGGCGCCAAAAAAACCTGCTCCGATGACTGTGGCACCATCTTGTTCTGTGGCATAAATTGCGGCTAGAATTCGCGATGAATATTCTTCAAGTCTCTGATACAATTGAGATACGGATTCGTTACGGCCCTGCGAAATGTGATTAAGAAATGTGATTTCTGTCCATTTTGTCAGATTGCTGCGAATATCAATTTGTTTTCTAGCTTGTCCCGTGATTCTACTCTAAACATAGAGCGACAATAGAAGTTTATGGAAGTTTCTGTGATTTTGATGCGATTTCAAATACTTCGTAAATTTGTTTAACAAAATTTCATACTTTCAATCGATTTCCATCAAATGTTTCAGGGATTTTGTTAGGAAACTTAAGAATAATTGTTCCACTAATCCGCGATTTTCTTGCATTGCACTTGGAGGAAGTTGACGTTCCGAATGAGGTATTTTTTTAATTCTAGGGAGATCTCATTCGGAATGAAAAATTACAACACCTGAGAGTCAGTACTTACAGTTCGCTATTAGACAACTTCCGGCTGGTGTTAGAGATGCTAGTCCAGAAGAGAAGCTAGTTCTAGGTGGTTGATTAGTGGATAACTCCTGGCTGGTGTTCGGAGCCTAAATCCAGAAAAGAGGCCAGCCCTAAGGGGTTGATCCATGAAAAGATGTGAAGGATGGTCCAAATTTAAACAATATGTCACTTCTGTCCAGGTTTCTATTACGTTGCATGTTCTAGTTTTTTCATCAGTGTTGAACTAATTCCATCCTCGTCACCAAATTTTGTTGGATTCCAATGAATAAATACTTAACAAAGACTTCGTTTTTAATAAACTGATATTTATTCGGAATATTTTCATTTGGTAACCAGTGTGGTGGCTCTGGTCGTTGGTAGTTGTAACAATTCTAACGTTAAGTTTTAGAAAAGATCCAAATTATTACAATTTGAAAATTAATAGAGTTTTTCCTTGGAATTATTTTTAGGGTGTGTAGAAAGTGTGTGAGAAAGTGAGAGGAGAATAAAGCTTGTGACGCCGAAGAAAAGTCCAAGGGTTGGGGAAAGTTTGGAGGTTCGAGAAATAGGACGTTGAGCCCAAGTGTCTAGGGAAGTGTGACGGTTTATGGACATTCGAGGGAATGGCTCAAACTACTTAGTGAGGTACGGGAAACGTTATACAGTTTTCTTGGAAAAAGCAGTTGTTAGGTTTTCCCGGTTAAACAACGATTGGGATAAAATCCAGATAGGAATTGTGAGTAACAGGGGTCCTTGAATGGCACACGAATGCTTAGAGGAGATTGTAGATTTGCCCAAGTAGATGTTAGAATAATATTATGTATATATGTAAGGAAGTTGTTTATCTAGGTAGTTTAATTAAGTTCCAGGGACATCCTTAAGAACGAAATATGCCAATCTGATGAAAATTTAGACATTTGAACCATTGGGATAAACAAGTTCGTAGTACTTGATGTTTTATATTTTATATTTTTTTCCAATATGGTAAAATCCTCTCGGTTTCTTTGGGGTTTCTCCAGCTTCCTTCCTCTCTTCTCCTCGTTCCGTCCGGATATGCTCTCCAGAAGATGTTCCTCCACAATAGTTCCTTCACTCCTTTCGCAATCGTTCCTTTACACAATTGTTCTGCCTTCACAATCTTTGTCCTTCACAATAGTTCTTCTCCTCAACAATCTCCTCACAATAATTCTCCACACAATAATTCTTCACACAATATTCTCTTAACACACTCTTTTTTGGGGCAGTGACTCGTGACTCGTGACTTCTCTTATTAATGAGAGCGGGGGGCTCTGCTAAGGGATGGGTAGGGCAACGGTGGCAAAAAAGATCAACTTAAACCTAACTTAGCCTGCGAAGAATAAGGTGTATCAATTAGGGGGAACAGGGGGAAGGGGGGCAAAATTCTGCCTCGTCACAACCTCTTTGTGTTGTTCTGGTTTTTAAATGTACCAATATGCATTGTCGTGGGGCCGATAACCGCTACGTCCTCGCCGTGGTCGTGGGTATGCAAAGAGCGGTATACAAATTTCAACGTATGGAGGAAATTATTTGTCTCCCCAACCTACGGTTGTCACATTCCCGATCGGAAGGTCAAAAACTATCGGATAGGATATAATTTTATGTAAAGTTGGGCGGGGGGGTAATAGACAGTTACCGAGGAACTTATTGGAAACACATGCAAACAGAAAAAAAAACATGAAGATGTGTCAGGCTTGATTTACCTTGTTTATCCGCTGACTGAGTGAAAAGCCGGTAGAAAATCTGCGTTCGCGTAAACCATTCAAATGAGACCTGCAGAAAGGGATGATGATTTATTCTGGTACTAACAAGGCCTACAGAACACTCACCTTCCAGCTAGATACTTTCCGAAGATCTGGAACATGATGAGCTAAAGATCAAGTACTATTTAATAACATGAACAGTCTGATGATAGTGGTATCGGCGCAGTCGAGGACAGAGTCGAGTGTCGAGGTGAAATATTTGATAAGAACGCTCATTTACATTCAACAAGAACTGGGCAATCATGCGTGTTGTCGCGCGCTCTGCCTCTAAGTGAGCGCTCTGTCTCTAAGTGAGCGCTCTGCCTCTAAGTGAGCGCTGTAACGCCCAGCTCCGGAAAGTTGACACTCTGATGGCATAAATTAATTATTACAATAATTTATATTTGTAGCGCCCAATAGCATCTTGATAATCATGGAAATGATCAATCGATCCTTAGACGAATAGGAAAACGAATAAAAGATTGACAATGAAAACAACCATTCATTGTCAATCTCTTTTATAATAACGGCTGACGAAACAGTCATGAAGCGATATGGTGCACGTTTCGAGCACTTGTTTACACATATTATATGGGAGATTGACCCCCGTGTACTTAGCAAGCAGGGTACAATAATCAGAGATTATAGGGGAGATTGCCAGCGCCTGTACAAAACCTTCAACAGGGTCAGAGCCCGTACCTGTAAGTAAAGCAGATCGAGAGCCCGTACCTGTAAGTAAAACAGGTCGCGAGCCCGTGAGTGTCGATAATTTTCAAAGCCCGTGCGTGTCGATAATGTTCAGAGCCCGTGAGTATGGATAAGACAGAGCGCGAGCCCCAGAGTGTAGATAATTCGGCACAGCGTGAAACCGAGAGTATCGATAATTCGAGGAAACCGTGACGTACGAAAACATTAAATATAAAGCGAAGTGGGGGTACGATCAAGAAACAACCGATGGACGGAATAAAAAAAGAGTTCACTCTAAAAAATTCGAAAAATTGTTGAAGGAATTGCGGAAAAAATGTCTCTCGAATATATACTCAAACGATTGAGAATCGTCTGAAATGTGAAGATTTATTGGTCCCTCGGAACTTTTATTAAACGAGATATTTTGTGTTAACAAATTGAAAAAAGTTTAAACAAATTCGGGAAAAATTCTCTCGTAAATATATATTCAAACGATTGGAAATCACCTGAAACGTCGAGATTTATGGGTCCCTCGGAACCTTTTTTTTTCAACGGCTCTATTTTTCCCGAATTTGTTTAGTCATTTTTCAATTTGTTAACAAAAATAGAGCCGTTTAAAAAAAAAAGTTCCGAGGGACTAATAAATCTCGACGTTTCAGGCGATTCCCAATCGTTTGAATATATATTTGCGAGACAATTTTTCCCGAATTTGTTTAATCACTTTTGAATTTGTTAACAAAAAAGAAATCGTTTAAAAAAAAGTTCCGAGGGACTAATTAATCTCCACGTTTCAGACGATTCTCAATCGTTTGAGTATACATGTTCGGGACAATTTTTCCTCAATTTTTTAAACAAATGGCGTATTTATGAACGTTAACTCGCTTTTTCATTCCGTCGATCGGTTGTGTCTCCATCATACCCCCACTCTCCGGTACATCGGATGTTTTCGTTCGTTTTCGGACGTCATCGTTATTTCAATAAGTGCCCTACCTTAGTGACACTCACGACCGCCTCGAATTATCGACACTCAGGGGCTCGCGCTCTGTCGTATCCATACTCACGGGCTCTGAACATTATCGACACGCACGGGCTCTGAAAATTATCGACACTCACGGGCTCGCGACCTGTTTTACTTACACGTACGGGCGCTCTGGGCGTAGTTCCGTAGCCGCCGCAATGGATCACTCGCCCAAGCCTTTCCATAAGCCCTAGCAATCTTCCCTACAATCTCTGCAATAATTAGGAAAATTATCTTATGTATTCGATTGTACATCGTTAGTACATGATTGTACTACATTTTTGTGTTTATGCATTCACTCATTGATTATAAATAATTATTCCATTTTTGCCATGATGCTGGCCGGAATAAAAGGAAAAATAGCCCAATGAGTTTAATAAATAGCGAATTCGATCGGAAGTTCTTTGTACATCATGAATTACGTATTTTCTTCGTTTGTACATTCGTTATTAATTGATGAATTAACCAATTAATAATTCTGATTCACCCCCACCGCACACAGCTCCGAGAAGTTATCAACTTATTATTCTAATTAATTATCCCGCACATGCTCAATCGTTTGAAGGTCCTTTGCAGGTCTATGATAGATAAGAATTATTGTTTGATCGATCATCGTTTTTTTAAAATGAATTTAAAAAAAAAATGAAATATTTCTACGGAAGTTATCATGTTTTTTTTTAAATTTAGCCCTAGAATGTTGAATGACCGCTCAAACGATCGAGAATCGTTTGCAGGTGATTGATAGATGATCATCAATCCCCTACAGAACACTAATTATGAATTATTGATTAAAAATCATTTTGGATTTACTGTGCTCAGCGGAGGCGGAGTAGGGAGGTCGCCATATTGCATCCAACAGCTGACGGTTTGCATTTTGGAGCATGGCGAAAAACTACTCCGAAACAACAGATTCATTTTATTATCCAAAATGTAAGTCATAATTAACCGATTGAGTGTAGTGAATACAATGGATGAAGTGAAGGGTAATTTCAATAATTTTTCTCCTGTAAATAGTTTTAATCATTTTTTTTCAAAGTTGGACGGTGATCGTTCCAACCACAGAGGCCATTTTACTTGAATATAGCTCTCAATTTAATTACATGTGAATCTAATTAATAATATCTCCATTCTCAGAGGCAGAGAATCTGATCTCCACTGTTGAATGTTTTTTCCTGAATAATCGTCACATAATTGCAACTGAATGATAAAGCGGTTTTAGAACAATTCCAACAATTTGTGGAAGTGATCTTGCAGCAGTTAACAGTGAAAAAATAGAGATGGATTTCTTCCAGGTACGGATGAAATACCTCGACCGATTTCATCGAAAAAGTGTCCGAAAGAAAGTGAGTTGAAATTATTCATGTAGTTTGGCACAATCCCGATTACGCTGCTTTAATTAACAATTCAGAAGGAAATGAGACATTCGAATTAATCTCAATAGTCTTCTTTCCAATCAATCTCACGATCTCATCTACAGGAGCAGGGCGCAAATATTGTTATCTCTTCGTGACACTGACGTATGTTATTCTACTGAGAAAATGTGGAATGACATTCCAATATTAGAAATCGAATTTGTGGTACACCAGCCGATGTTTGGAGGAATTGTCTTTTTAATGAACCGAGCCAATGGAAAAGGTATGATTGTACTTGTGGGAGCTATATCCAACCCATTTCGATCTTGGAGCCGAATATTACTAAAGCATTGATCACATCAAACAAGTTACTTTTACCTCTCGAGTTTCATGAAGTTTTAAAAAAGGTGCAATGTCGCCGACCTCTTTGTAGCAGCAGATGCAATGTACAGACAACACCCAATTTCCATCTATTCATTCATTTGAAGCGATCAACTAAGTGTTTGCTGGGGAATGTATTTAAAATTATTGGAATGGGCGATCAGTATCAGTGAGTATTACTTTACATCAATTACATTCAAATATTGTTCCTTTGGTTTCTATTGTACAATTATTCAATATTGTTGCAGAATTGTTGGGGTCATCAGTGCATTTCATGACCGATACGTGGCCTTTAGTTTAGTAAATGGAAAGTGGTGGTTGTGCGACAACCAGCAGCCAAACATCCAAATGACATCAGATGTAGAATTCGTTGAACTGGTTGGATTAATTTATATTTTAAAAAGTGCAATGAGTTGCTAAGCATGTTAAAAAAAATATCAATTACCAAAGTAATTTTATCAAAGATGAATATTTATTTGTTTTCCAATAAAAAAATATGATGATTACAAAATTTATTCAAGTCTATCTTTTAAATAAAGAAAAATTCTCATCTAGTTTATTACTGGGAAAGATCTTCAGCAAAATTCCAAAATTAATCAGCTATGAATCCTCTCGAGCTCTCCAGATGCAAAATGATCAAAAGACTTGACATATAATCTGTAAGAAATAGACAGAATGTGAAAATAATTATCTATCCGTCGATCAGCCACTTCACAGCTTTCTGATATCAAGCAATATTGAATTCATTTAAAATTTGTAACAATAACACATTGCAATTTTATACTACAAATAAAAATCAAAGTGTAAAAATGACGGAAAAATTACAACGCAAATGAAAAATAATTGGTAATGAACAAGTATACAGGCTTATCGTTGACCCTTTTTTAGTGGCTTTTCGAATAATCCATTTCATTCAATCGGTTGCCATGTAAACTGGTTAGGAATTAAATAAACATAATAGAAAATTAGAAGCATAGAGATGTGAATAACATTCTGCTATGCATAAAAATGGCAGCAGCAATCAGCTGTTGAATAGAATGTGGCGCCCTCCATCGTGACGGTCTCTGCAACGACTTACTCCAAAATGATTTTTAATTAATAATTCATAATTGGTGTTCTGTAGAAGATTGATGATCATCTATCAGTCACCTGCAAACGATTCTCGATCGTTTGATCGGCCATTAAACATTCTAGGGTTAAATTTAAAAAAAAAAGATGATAACTTCCGTAGAAATATTTCATTTTTTTGAAAAATTCATAAAAAAAAACGATGATCGATCAAACAATAATTCTTATCTATCATAGACCTGCAAAGGATCTTCAAGCGATTGGGCATGTGCGGGATAATTAATTAGAATAATAAGTTGATAACTTCTCGGAGCTGAGAGATTTTGCGCGTTTTTCTCGACTTAAAACTTATTTTTTTGCTCCCGTTAGGAGGCGTTTTGCGGCGTTCATCACATGCCTTTCAGAACACTGAGAAGTTAGGTATGTAGAGGTTAAGTAAATAATTGCTTAACCTAATATTATTCCATTGGCCAAATTATTGGTAAACTACTCGACCTCTGAGTATATTACGAATATCTCCTATCCACCGATAATTTATTACTCAATCTATCGTCAATCGTATGCAACAGTTTGATAGAAAATTTAATTTAAATTATCACCGCGGCCGTGTTCACAAAACCTGCACATAACGTCTGTATTCCATGCCCCCTAACGGAGCAGTATGTAATTAGCCGCAAATTTTCAACAATTACAAAAATGAACTCATACAATCGATTGTAAATTGTTCGCAGGTGATTGTAAAAAAGGTCATAATGTTTAAGAGTAGATAGTTTTTTTATAAAAAATAAAAAACTTGTGACCCATGTAGTTAGCCGCATTTTTTTTTCTTATCACTCTTAAATGATTTTTTTTATTGTAATCGTTTGCAATTCGTTTGTAAATACTATATTCATTTGAATCGACGTTTAAGAGTCATTAGTCTGGAAATTATCAGCAATAAACGTGATTGCAAAATTGCGTGGAGGGGATAAGACTTTGCAAGTATGATGGCGCCTGCGCAACTATTCAGAGGATTTTTCGGTTATACGTTCAAAAATAGATTAATGTCTTTCTCACTTTAATTTTGAAAGATTTCACTACGGCTGTCTTTTAATTGAACATTGAGTGACACATCGAAACCATTGTACTTTTTGTAAGTACATTAATAATTATAATAACTTGTTCACTAATGGGTGACATTTGGAGAATACTTATCGTTTGAGTAATCCCTGGTTATTCCCACCCAAGCTTACAGCTTATGCTGTTAATTTCATAAACCCAGTTAGGGTTGGGCAAAAACCTTGAATTCAATATTTACGTTTTTTTGTTCAACAGAAGTGTTAAACTAATGTCTCATGGCAATTGTCATGTTTAACACTTCTGTTTAACAAAAAAACGTAAGTATTGAATTCAAGGTTTTTTCCCAACCCTAACTGGGTTTATGAAATTAACAGCATAAGCTGTAAGCTTTGGTGGGAATAACCAGGGATTACTCAAACGATAATTGTTCTCCAAATGTCACCCATTAGTGAACAAGTTATTATAATTATTAATGTACTTACGAAAAGTACAATGGTTTCGATGTGTCACTCAATGTTCAATTAAAAGACAGTCGTAGTGAAATCTTTCAAAATTAAAGTGAGAAAGACATTAATCTATTTTTGAACGTATAACAGAAAAATCCTCTGAATAGTTGCGCATGCGCCGTCATACTTGCAAAGTCTTATCCCCGCCGCGCAATTTTGCAATCACGTTTATTGCTGATAATTTCCAGACTAATGACTCTTAAACGTCGATTCAAATGAATATAATATTTACAAACGAATTGCAAACGATTGCAATAAAAAAAAATCATTTAAGAGTGATTAGAAAAAAAAAATGCGGTTAACTACATGGGTCATAAGTTTTTTATTTTTTATAAAAAAACTATCTACTCTTAAACATTATGACCTTTTTTACAATCACCTGCGAACGATTTACAATCGATTGTATGAGTTCGTTTTTGTAATTATTGATAATTTGCGGCTAATTACATACTGCTCGGTTCGCTCGGTTGGCTTAAAAGCCCAACGGTCATTGAAACTCAGCCTAGATGGCGATACTCCGTTATTCTTGCAAATAGACAATGCGGTATATATGTATAAGATAATTCCAAGCCCATGGTGCCCCGCGCGATTGATTTGCGCATGTCAGTTGTACGCATTGCAAATGGCGGTACCTTGTTATTGTTCATGGCGTTTTATGACTTGTCCCTTTATATCGCCGATTATGAGAAGTATTTTTGTGATTATCACGGCAGAGTGTTGCTATTGCGCTTACAAATTGTTTTAAAGTGGTATAATCATTGATAAATCGAGTGTTTAACGGTGTGGATCTTCGTGTTTATTGGCAAGAAACGTTTAACAAAACCAATATCCCTGGGGTCCCTGAAGTTGGTGAAGGAAGGAAGAGGAAAGAAAAAAACTAACTAACGAAATGGGGTAACGTTGGAAATTCATTGGTGTTACAATTGGATGACAATTTCTGATGAAGCTGTAATGATCCGAGCTTAAAGATTAATCTAGGGATTATCATGGGAAATATAGAGATGATGAGATTTAGTATTTTATTAATGGTGAAAAGTGAGTTTGGTAACAAGTACGTTAAATGTTGCGTGAGGTTGACGGGGCTATCATAAGCATGCTTGAGCCTAAAGCCCCCAGCCCACAGCCCACTTCACGTTCGCCTCCCCCGACCGACAAAATGGACGGCTTCCTATTCTGAAATATTTTTCCTCTTCTATTTTCTTCACCACAAAATCATTAAAAAATAAACCATCCTATTTATATGTTGTAATGATCAATTCTTATATGAGCAATTGGTTGACGCTCATGAGAGAAATTCAGTAAATTGGAGAATATCATGTCAGACATTTATCCTATAACCTATTTCTCTCCCCTCCCCCTTTCCACTCTTTAGAAACCAAGCCGTCTTAGTTTGTTAACATTGGAAATACTTTATTTCCATATTTTTGAGAAAATTAAATTCACTTCATTGTTGTTAGAATGGATGTTTACTGTTGGATGCCCTTATTGGGTTTGACTGAGAAGTTCAATTAACGTTTTAGGGATTTTCATGAGTTTTAGTAGTCATTATTGAAAAGGTAATTGATATTGAAGTATAACCTAATATCGGCGGTTCCGTACTTATATTTAAATATTATATATTTGCTTGATAGAGTAACCTTTTGTGGCAGGATTTTCATCTATCTAATATTGGTGGAGTGGTTGGTAAAATGATGGACTATATTATAAATATATAGAGAGTATAAATATGATGATTATTTTTCAACAGCGAAGGAAGAAATTACAAATAGCCGCTGGAGTTTGGGACCATAGACAGAGACTTGGTCGGGTTTTCAGACTCAGTGTTGTACTCCTGAGAGGTTCCCGGGCTCCCCTGGTATTATGTGATTGATGATTGGTACGTAAACTAGTGAATTAATATAAGAAATTGGAAAGCTGAGAATAAATATGGTGATTACATTGTGGATTAGTCGGCAGCCAATGTATAGGATTTCATGAAATATGTACCCATTTAATGCGCCAGATAACTCTTGTTAGCGACATTACATTTTTAAAATAACAATTAGTCTCTTCTGAAAATGTTATGAAATTATGCATTTCCCCCCGCACTTATTATTAATCCTCAATATTTCAGGTCGTAATGACCAAAATTTCACAATTTGGTTAGCTTTCCCCAAATCGAACAAATCTTTAAGGTGCTAGAGGTCTTGATTATATTGTTTTTCAATATCAATATCGTCATTCATTACCATGTTGGTAAATTCGTTAAAAATTTATCAAGGTCTTTTGAGAGACAAATAATTACCTCTTTATTTATATGTTTATTGTTTTTATGTAAGAGTGCAACAGTGGTGTTTGAAGTTTAAATATTCGTAACCTTTACTCTTTACTTTATGAGTTTTGTCGGTCATGGGTTGTCGGAAAATTCTTTAAAGCCTGTTCTTGCAGAGTGTAGATGGCATTTTTTTAATTATATTAACTTTATCAAGCTTTGTAAATAAGTTTTAAAGAAATTAGAAATTTTGTTTTCTCTTTCAAGGTGTATTCTACTGCTTCACTGATATTTTATCCAGTTCGGAGCTTACAGAATGCTTTTAGAAACTGCATAAAATTTATGGAATTATCTTCAGCATTTTAGAAGACATGGAAGACTGCCGAAAATTTCACAAATTTTATGCTATATTGAGAAGACCGAAAAATGATAAAACTTGATGAGCAGGTACTCTCCATCAAAGTTTGACTTTTAATCCCAGAAATCGAAATCGACGGGATCCAATAAATTTTCCCACGAACCACGACAAATCAAAAAACGTAATTATTACCAAAAATGGAAAGTTAGTTTACTCACTCCTTTAAGTGATAAATAATAATTCTCGGTCGTTTTTCTACCCATAATAATAAGTCATTCAATTTCGTAAGGTTTCAAAGTTTCAGAAAGCAATATCAAAGTAATATTGCATGGGATTATCCGCAGTAAGTCTCATACTATTTAAAATACAAAAAACGTGTGTTACGCGTGTTAATTATTCTTATTCATAAATTAGACATTTCCTCCGACATGATCGTGGAAAGATTATCAACATCTCTTCAAGTACTCATTGCAATTGAAGCGAACACTCAGCTAAAACAGGAATGACTAAAATTATTACCAAATGTTCGACAATTCTCGTCATTAATATAATTACCAATTTGTATTGCTCTCCATTTATCTGGAAAAATAAGCTAATACCGTATCTTATTTTCTTCAGTCATGGCGGCCGACAGTGATGGTGATCTGATCGAGACGGTGGTAACGTGCGAGGGCAATCTAAGTGATCCAGAGTTTCCCCAGAAATTTTCCCGAATAGTAGATCGGCTGAATCACCTAATCTCCCCCCAAAAAGGTGATGGCCTTTGTGTGAACAAAGTCGAGCCTTGGAATTCTGTTCGCGTGACTTTTTCCATCCCCCGAGAGGCAGCTCTACGCTTGCGAGAGCTTGCAACAGAGGGATCTTCCGCTTTAACGCAACTAGGAATTCTCTCAGTCCAGATAGAAGGTGACCAAGTGATATCTTTGCGAATTGCCGGAAGTTTTGGCGGTGAATCACAGGAGATTGTTCTCCACTCAACTCCGAGCGATGAGCACCTCCCCACAAAAGCTCGAAGCGATGGAAATGCAAGTTCTTCATCAAGTGATGCAGAAAGACCTTTGCCAGGACCAAGTAATCCCTGCAAATCTCCCCAATTTCGGTCACCAAACGTGGTCGCTCCGACAGACTGTGATCCCATCCCGTCGTTTCTCACGAAAACTATTCAGGCAGCGTCAAGCACAGCTGGGCTTACTCAAGCAGTTAACCAGGCTAATTCAAACACCTTAAATTCATCAAATCCCACTCCATCACCCCGAAATAACTACAATGGACCATTCCCCTTCGCTAGTATGACCCATGCTGCCCAAGCTGCTCAAGGTATCCATCGAGATTCCCAATCAATTTCTCAACCTCCAGTTTTCAAACACAACCAACCTCCACCGCCTTACCCAACAACGGCGAATCAGCCGCATCAACAACCAGAACCGCAAGCGCTAGTATCCAATCAATTAAATCCACCAGTAAGTAAAACACTTGCCCTGACAGCTGCAATAGGTGCTAATCAAGTAGCACTATCATCACCATTGCTTGTGAATCTACTTCAGAACGATGGCAGTGGACATCCTGGTGGTAGTCAAGGTCAGAAGGTGGTTGCTGTAGATGCTGGAGCCAGTGTGGGCCGAATGAAACCAGTAAAAAAACCAAATGCACGGAGGAAAGAGACGCCAACAGTTACTGGAGTTGCTTTGGGTGAATTAGAGGCACCTCCACCAACGAGTTTGGATTCCATTAGAGCCGAAGATCTTATTGGGGCAGTGCCCTTAACCCCCTCGGGCCCCTCTGCTTTTGCCTCAGTACCGCAGAGCAACTCCAGCAGTTCTCCTCAAACTAATCAAACACACTCACAAGTACAAATTACACCGAAATTCCCGATTAGACAGGAGTTGACTTATAGAGGTCAGTTGGTGACCACGAGACATCCAGTGAATGGTCAAGGAAATAGGACACCTGCTCAACAACGTCAGATTATTCTTCAACACCAGGTCCAAGGACAACATATGATTGTTCAAGGACAGTTATCTCAGCCCCAAAACCAACAACAGATGATTGCTTCTAACTTGAGTGTTGCTCAGCAACGATTGGGCTTCGTCAATAATGGGCCCAAACAGCAGACACCTCCACCATATCCACGAATTAATCAGTCCGCTACACCAACATCAGCAATTCCCACAAACCAACAGACTCCAGTACCACCGCTAAATCAAGGACAAACACTGAATATCCAACAACAATTGCACCATAATAAACTAAAAAACACAAATGTCAACACAAGTGCTAGTAATGATTTTCGTTATGGACAGAGTCAAAATATACTGAGTAGAAATTATTCAACCACAGCTGGGACCACATTAATATATGGTACGTCAAAAATTTCAGGAAATATATCACAAAATCAACAGTTAAATCAATCAAGAGTTAATGCTGCAACGGGCTCACTAACGAGTCAGATTAATACAGGTGCCTTCAATCAAGAGTCAAAGAATCAGAGGAAAAATAATTTAACGGCAACAGTGACAACTGTGGCAACATCAAATTTATTGATTAGTTCACCAATTAATGCCACAAAAAACTCATCAATAAACACCAAAAGTATAAATACCATTAGAGAAGAATCATCATTGTCATCGTCGTCTTCTGACCATAAAGAGAGACATGAGGATGAAGAGAGACCTGAACCTGAGTACACGTCATCAGGCAAAATTCGACAATTTTTAATAAATCCACTGACTGGACATTTGGAACCAATGCCAAGTGAAAGTTCAGAGTCTGAACCCGAGAGCGCTGTTGACAATCAGGATGATTTTTTTTCATTTCCCTCGCCGTCCAATGATCGTTCAAATTCAATATTTTCCGATGATGATGCTGACAGCAACATGTCTAGACGGAATGATACAACTAATACTGATCAATCGGATTCAGAGACAACGGGTAAATCAACGGGCAGCGAGGGTAGTTTGAAACACAGATTAAAATCTCGGGATAGCCCAATGCACGGTGAGAAAATCAAATTGAGACTGAAACTAGAAAAGTCAGAACCGGTAACAGCGGCTTATAAGGTAGACGTTTCGTTTGTTAACACGCCACCGATCAAGAAAGCTGATAAAACTATCAGTAAAATTTTTGGGGCGACAACTCCTGGGGGCGGGGGCGCTGGTGGAGGAATAGATGAGCCGAGGGTGCCACCGTTGCATATTTCCTTGAGAGGCAGAAATGCTTCAGTTGTACAGATTAGAAAGAAAGAAAAGAAGATAATGGCAAGGGACGATGATGTTTCCGGGAATAACATTGGTGTAAAAAGGAGGGGAAAACTTAAAAAGATGAAAGATCCTACTGATAGTAATAAATTTCTGCAAAAAAAGTCCTTGGGCATGATAATGACGACCACCATGGTTGCCACCACCAGTACTATTATTTCAACGGTTTCTGGGGTGGAAGGCAATCGTCAAGTGGTAGCTGTAGTTAACAGTACCGTTGCTTCTGCGAGTCCTAATGTCGGAGGAAATGTTATGACCAAGGTGAATAATTCAATCCAGGGAAAGAGCAGACAAGAGAATCTCATTGAGGGCCAGAGGGGAATTGTGAACAAAGCAGGTTCGAGCAAGACGGGAGATGTAGATGATATTCCGTTAAATAGCAGGATACCTTCACCTGTTAAGGGAAAAGGACTCGCTGGAGTAGGGATGGGCAATAGCCAGGGAGGAAAGGCACATCTTGAGAGTGAGCTGTCCAATCACACTAATGAACACAAAATTGGTGGAGGTAAATTCACCTTATTTATTTATGCTAATCGTGATTTTTATATTAAGGAGTTCCACACATTCGTTCTAAAAATTCGTTTGATTATTCAATCTCATAATTCCTAGTTGAATCAACAGTCTTGATTTTGTTAGTCAATATAAACATTTGAAAAATTCGAATTTGCCCCCCAAAATATTTTTCCATTATGATTTTTTATCTTGATAGGTTTTCTTTCTCCTTTCCTTTTATCCGAAACTTTAGTGCAACCCCGCATCAAGCAGAGATGTATCAAAAAAATGAATACATGTTTAAAATATAAAAAAAAGAATATCCACTTAGTCGTTTTTAATTTTTATGGAAAAATTATTGTAATGATGGGAAAACTATAATAATGGGAAAAATGGGAAGGACTATAAACGTAAATACCTTTGCGAACAACACGCGGGCAAGTAATTACTTTTTCCAGACTGGCATCTGAAAATCACCATTTTGAAAAAATCCAAAGTCGTATTTCCTAGGCCTTGGGTCTGAAAAAATTCTATAAGTCACGCCGTCGAAAACATATCACCCTTCCCCACATGCTTGTTAATTTTGCGTGTGAGAAATGATGATTTGTTTTCCACGACTAGGCCTGAAAATAATTATCATCCTCCCCTTTTTCTTTATTCAGAAGTGACAAACGATCGCTATATCAATTGTGCTTTCCCTATTCCCGAGGCTTCCGCTGATTATGCCAAAATAAAAGTGTAACGAAAAAAAATCAAAAATATTAAAATAATAATGACACAGCATTTTCTCAATTAACTTCACATGTGCCGTTCACAAAATGATTTGCGTTGAACATACTTCCTTTCCACTCATCCTTTTCTCACTGGACGAAAAAAGCTGAAAACACCTGATCGCCACCTCAATTGTGGTCTTCCTGTTTGGAGGCTACTACTGATTATACCACAAAGATAGCCTTCTTAATTAAAGACCACCAACTTCTTAATTACTTGCCCATGTGCTGTCCATGAAATTATTTATGTTCACGACTCTCTTTTCTCATCAATGCTCTGTCAAATCAGATATCTTCAGTTTTTTCTTTATAGTACTAATTCTTCCAAGAGAAATGATTACTGATTAAAATCATTACGAGAGGCTTTCTATTCTGAAGCGTAAGGCATTTTTTTGATAATCTATTTTTTAAGTCTAGGTTATTAAAACTGTCCATGGAGAATCACATTCGCTACTACACAACATGATCTTTCATATGCTCATTATTTTACCTATTTTATCTTTGCGTTAGGATAACCTGTGTATCTATTAAAATAATAGCCACTTAACACCACCTATTTCGACTAGACTGTATTTAAGTTTGAAGTCACAGGAAAATATATTGGGAGATTTATGTCAAGTTGGTTGGGGTTTGTTAAAACCAAATGATAATCGAGATGGAATTGTCAATTGCTAATACTCGAGCCATCGCATACTGCATTGTTTGCATTGTTTTGAATAGGTGCACTCATCGCTTGGAAATTGCCAAAGTTAACAGGCTCTCTCCCTCTTTTGCAGGAAAAACGAAAAGAAGAGATTCCAAAAAGAAGTCTGATTCTGGGGAAGGTCTCCAGCGGGAACAAAACCTCCTCTCAGGCGGTAGAATTTTGGACAACCAGACAAAGTGGAGAAAACTGGGTTACAAAGGCCCTGGAGCAACCAGTGACCTCCTAGCGAAGAAGGCCCCGAGAGAGCTCTGTGATACTTCTACTAAAGACACGACAAAAAAAATTGGGGAGATTCGTCGAACAAGTGATAGTGACGTTCGCCTTACCGACAAGACATGTGTAATCTCCCGAATAACCGAATTCAATGGGATGAAAAAAGATCTTTTGATTCAGGAGAAGCGTCGTCGTTTGAGCCTCATGGACGAAAAGGACTTTCATCTATCAGACGCTCAAATTGGTCAAACAACGATCCAACATATGCCACGCGTATCGAAACTCTTCGAAAAAGATTCGACCCTTAAGAATCCCTTGAAATCACTGAGCCACATATCTGACATACCAGAGAAGCTCCAGAACGAGGACCAAGTCAAGTCATCGGCTCTCCTTGCCAAAAAAATCATCCCCGTGAAATATAAAATCGATTTAGAAAGCACTAAACCTCTTCAAAAACTGAAAAACCACTCCATAATTCAATCTGAGTCTCAGTCTCCCTCTCATACTCCCAAGAAATCATCTTCTAATTTTATAACCGTCTCCAATACTTCTGCTATCTCCGTATCTTCCCCAGCATCATCGGCAACTCTAACAAAAATAATGGAATTTAAATCCGATCCGAAAGAAAAGGGTCAAAACCTTGAAAGTTCCCCGGAAACATCATCCCTTGATCCCTCCAAGATTGATCCACACCCAAAGCCTCAGGACAAAACTGTGGAAAAAGGCGATACAAATGTTATTCCTCTGCTGGACTCATCGCACGAACGTGTAACCCCCCAAAATTCTGGAAACAGTGGAAATACTGGGGAAGATTCTGGTATTGAATCGATGGACGCTCTCTCCGAAAAATCACCAAATCAAGGAGAATCACCTCTCCATCGACCTATGGCTGAATCCCAAACAGTGAAAAATGTTCAGCTAACTCCAGTGGAATTAACAACCCTACAAACTACAATAAACAAGAACGTGCCTTCCTCAACAAGTGATATGTGTTCAACAGTGAATTCAAAAATATTGAAACCTGAAGATGAAGATGATAATGAGGATGATGGTGTTGATAATGACGATGATCCTTCTCATCTTCATCTTGATAAACAATCAGACGAAGTATCTAATTATCACGATATTTCTCGTAATGATGAAAATATTAAATGTGATGTCCACGAAAAGTCACTGTCAGTATCAGAATTACAAACAAATTATGATTCTGGAAGCGTGTCAACAGGTGTTTCTAACGATTTATCAATAAATACTGGCAAAAGTGGTATTTGTGATGATAACTTTCTTAATCAAATGAATAAGTCTGCGACGAATGAACCAGTCGATGAAGATAAATTCGATAAACTGACCAACATTGATTCACCAAAATCCCCTGAGGCTCTTGAAACAACAAGAGACCAGGATGTGACCTCTCACGTATTATCTTCCGAGATGGCGCCATTACAAGAAGCTCTTTCTCCACGCTCTGAAAATACTAAGCAGAGTCATCAGAGTCACAAAAACAACAACGTTATTATTTCGAAAGAGTCCTCCAAAGAATTTTGTAATAAGCGAAACGATCACAAGAGTTCCAGCCTCCAGTTTATAGACGTTAAACCGTCACTAGACGATGCGAGACAGGACAATCTTTTGGTCACATTGGAACGATCAGCCGAAACTTCAGAATTATCTCTGATCAAACATGAAAGTGATACGAAGTGTCTTGTTAAACGTGAATCTCCGTTGACGGTTAAAAGTGATGATTATGGTAGTAAAAAAAATGAAATGGATACGAGTGTACCATCACCATTGACAGATGATCCTCAACCAATCAGGATTACTCCACCTCTGTACACTTACTCGAATCCTGTAGTATTACAGAGGGATGAAACGCCTAGTCCAGCACTTCACGGTGTTGAGAGTGTTGATGCCGAGGCTGATAATATTAAAAGAAAGAGGAGAAGGAAACAGGAGTTGGAAGGGAGACAGGATGTTATTTGTATTGAAGAAGGGGACGATTTTGTCGAGAGATTGACACCGATCAATCCAATAACTACAGAGGATTATGTGAAGAGACCTGGAAGATCTCTATTGGAGCAACTATTGATTGAAATACCTAATGATAGTAGTGAGAAAAGATCTTTGAGGACGAGATCACAAAAAATGAATAGTCCTGATATTGTTAAGACACCAAAGAGCAGTCCACATGGGACCACTGTCGGGAGGTTAAGCGAGGAACGAAGTGAGAGGAGAAGCATTTCTCCATATGCCAAGATTGGTAGTAAAATTTGCCTTCCAAAATTGTCCCCTAATACTGTTGGCAGTGGCAAAGTAGGAAAAAGAAAGAGGCAGGAGAGTGAGAGCTCAGTTACTTCAGGACCTAATATTGAGGACCCACAGACTAGGCCCGGTAAAAGAAAATGTTCGGAAAATGCCGAAGTACTCATTAAGGCTTGCATGGGAGTCGATGAGGGAGGACACGTTAAAAAAATTTCCACCAAGGATGAAAAAAAGGGCTTCAACATACTGAGCAAGGCAAAAAAAGGTGAGGTTTTTCAAAGTTTGGAGGTAGTGATATTTATTTATGGTTGGCATGAGTAGATTTTTTGTCGCCTAAGAGGAAGATATTGCTGAAGATAATTGTTGAAGCAATAGTATATTTCGTCACTAGGCCGTTAAGAACTTTTGTGGTGATTGTTAGTTTACAGTCCGAGGCAGCGCCGGAGAGTGCACAAACGCAATCCTCAAAAAAGTTCTTTTCAGTCGAATAACGAACAATATTTTTTATCATTCGGTCCATAGGTGCTCTTTTACACTGAGTTTATAAAAATTACTTATGCCATACATTTTAAATGGTTGAAAAGGTCTGAAAAGGACCTTACCCTTACCTATTACCTATTGCCTATTACCCTTTATCCTGGGTATTTTTTACAAATGCAATTCTGATGTTGTTCCTTCCACAGAGACGAGTACGGGGCATTCTCTGAAAAAGCAAACACAAATAAAATTAAAAAATTTCGACTTCGCTGAGTTGTTTGTGGGTAATAGTAGGTAATGAGAGAAGCATGAATTTTCTAAAATCTTGCCTGTAATCGTTGTCTAAATATGGATTTTCCTCATTTTTCTTTCAAAAATGCCTAACTTTTAAAAATATTGACCAGATAAAGTTTTTTTTTTCTTTTGAAATTCTTAACTATATTCTCATTTGAAAAATACTGCAAAAATATTGATCATTTTCCAAATGATAATTTTAAATTTTGAGGCGAAAATTAAAAATTCTCGAAAAAAATTTAGTTTTTCTAGGAATTGTAACATTTTTTTCATCATGCGGAACCAATTATTCCACCAAATTACGTCTATATTTTATTTCAGTTTTAATATTTTCACGGCATTTTCTTGCATTCTGGAACATCGATACTTGATTGTTTGCATGAAAAATCACCAAAATCGAAATTTTGAAATTTTATCGGTGTTTGTTTTGTCGGAGAATGCCCCAAAATAGGAGAGATTAAATGGTTTCAGCACTTGACCAATAACTTTTTTGTTTTATTTTGTTTTATTTTGCAAAGCAGGTCCTATTTTAGTGGATGTCGAATCGTCAGATGATGAACCTCTTATGGAGATCGCTGCTAAGGGAAGGGTGAGAGGAAATGATGAATCTGCATCACCAAAACACAAAGATTCCAAGTATGAATTCCAAATAGACTAAAAAATTATGATTCATAGCTGGAGATATTGATTGATGATTTCCATATCAGAATCTTTTAATCGATGCAATGATGTATTTCAGTCATGCAAATAATTTATTCTGGACTTTAATTGATTTTTCAGAACTTTGAGTACTCCAGTGAGTGGGAGTCAATTAAACTCAACAAATGTATCAAATTTCAACGCATCCAGTAGGCTACAAAGAGAGAGTCGTTTATTAACAACCAAACAACCAGGTAATATTAACTCAACAACGGTGGGTAAGGAAAGGCTACGTGGTCCATCAGTGTCGACTAATGAGCCGGTCGGGGAAGTAACGACACGAAGATCTGTTAGACAAAGTGCAGTTTCACCACTCGCTACACCGGCATGTAATACGAGAGGTGCCTCCAGATCGATGGAAGATGTTAATAGGAGAAAAACACGAAGTGGTGCTGGTGAGTGAACGATATATTTTCGTGTTCTTTTCTTACCATCGGAGACTATTAAGGAAATCATTTCTTTTCATGCCTGAGTACTTCAAACATTATAAGTGACAGATGTCCATGCGTTAAACGAAGCGATTATTCGGTAAAATATTCGCGTGTCATGGCTAAAAATCTTAAAGGACAAACGTGCAAGTGTTCCCTCTCCTCCTCCTTGCCATCCCCCGTGAGAAACGTCAGCTTCCTACACGGAGAGAAAAAGTCAGTATAAATTACCTACTCGCTTGGTATTTATTGTAGTTAACACGGCTAGTCAAATTTGGCGATGGATCGGTAAGAGTCATCTAGTTCATTAAGAAAAATTACATAAAAGTTTGATAATTTTTTCCCAAATGGCGGAAACACAACCGGATATAAATGGCGAGCTAATTTTTACTGGATTTTCCGCTCCGTGTATAAATGTGTGGTACAATAGATAATTATAAAAATTATTCGTCCTTTCACTTTCACACGTCAGCGTGCAATAACTGGCCGATTACACTATAGTTAGACGGTTACTATACACCCAAATATTACGCCACTCCGACGTAAAATACTATTATTCTATTTTTATTCGCCCAGGGAGGTAGTAGAAAAGATTCATCGCCATAATTGAAGTATTCCGCGACAATTTATAAAATGATTTGGCTTGAAAAATAAACCGCACAATATTTTTTATTGGATATTTTTTGCGATGTGACTGCGTAGCTTAGGCTAAACTGCTTAGCACAGGACTATGCACAAGGCAGTTCGCACTGGGAATTTTGTATCTTACACTGTTGGAAAATTACCGCTGAAATCTGAAGTAATGAAATTTGAAATTGTTTATCACAATAAAGTAACATGAAAGTTGTGTTGAATGCTTCATCGACCAATCATTTTTTTCAATAATATGGTAATTATAAATTTTCTGGTCTGTATGGCACCGAAAGATAGCGTGAATGTTGAAAATTCAAGCAATTCGATGTAGAAGTGTTACGATGGGCATGAAATTCAAGCTTTTATTGAAAAATTAATTATAATTTACCATAAAAAACCCAATTTTTTCATTTTTTAAATGATTGAGAAATTTATTGACGGTTTTTTTTTATCACAATTGGATTGAAACTTGGATAACTGAAAATTCGGATGAATTTGTGACTGTAATTACAGAAAAATTGTTCATAATTTTGGAGTATTAGTGGTATTATTATTGAAAAATCCTAACACCCTATTTACAATTATTCAATTGTGGGGAAAAAGGTGAAGATTAAAGTTAAAAGATATATTGCAAGAGATGGGCGATGTACGGTGAAAACATCATTTTTTTTTATTACACCGTTTATAAAAAGTACACTGTTGAGCGTCAAACATTTTGTTTAAAGATTATTCTTTACCCCCCCCCCCCCCTTCAATAGTGCTCGTAAAATCTGGGTATAAAACATATGGACTACTTGAATGATCAATCTCCAGTTTTGCAATCTGTCTATTACATCGATTTCTTTATAGCTATCCTTCCGATAATTTTTTTTCTGTCATTTTTACATTGAGGATGATCGGCCGACGATTCAGTATAGAAGGTGAAGCGTAGGGAAATTTGTGGTATCCTGCAGGGGGATTCGGGACTAATTGTTGTCAATTTCAGACGAAAATTCAGACTAACCGGCCTGTATCCCGAAACATTTTATTTTAGTCCGTGTCGCTTTATGGCTTCTTATAGATAGCACTCATGAACGACTTGATTTTTTCCTATTCTCAAAATGATAAATATCGCGATCATCGATATCTCGAAAGTTTGTCGTGCTTATTCTGTATTGGTACAATCGCCTGAGCCGGCTAATCTAAATTCAAAACTCATTGAAGTTTGAAATTTTCAACAATTATTTTCATAATTACAGTGCTGTAGTGCGTGTTCAGTCTCGTTCAGTAAAAAAGTCCTAATTTGATATTCCGTCAGTGTGCGAACTTTTACTAGTTCGGCTGAAAATAGGGCAAACCTTAAATAATTTCGTTGCCCATGAAAATATACCAGTAGATGCGTAAAAGTCCCCCGAAAAATATGTCAAAATGGTTACGCACAGTTCAACTGGGAACCTAAATAAATAAATTTTAAACTATTGACTTTTGTCGCTTAACGCCAAGAATGTCAACTGCATCAATTGAGCTCATCGAATTGCAAAGAAAGAAATATCGGTATGTGGAGCGAAAATTCAATTACAAACCTATACAAAAAAACCATGTCCGACTGTATATAATTATAATGTCAAAAAATACTGAAATTTCTTAACCTCATTAATTCGTTAACATTTTACAGTTCGCCCTTTTTTTTGCCGCGAACGTCAACGCAACACGTGCGATCTGCAATGGGTTTGAATGTACGTCCCGTGCTATCATGCCTATTTATATACCAATCTTTTATTCCTATTCTATCAATTAATTTTAATATCCTGACCAATAATTGAAGGGTTTAGAACAGACATGGCCAAAGTCGGACCTTCGGGAGCCGGGGCCAGAAAACCCTATTAGACCCATTATTAGAAATACAATACCCCAATTGAGTGAAGTCCAGCGTAGTCAGGGTGGGAGTAGCAGTGTGCACGAAGTGGAGCGCAGTTATACAGAGAGAGCGCCGCGCGTTTTCTATTTAAATTTAAGAAACCTTACCGCCTACAAATTCGAACAAATTTTCACGAATTCAACGTGAAAAATCCTTAGTTTTATCGGGGGTAATTGTTCAAACATTATGGTGTCAAAAATAGATTATTTCTTGGTTATTTTAATAGTGAATAATTATTTTATTAAAAATTGAAAAACGTGAGATGTCAGTTCCTTAAAATTCAATCAATAAATTAGGAATGTAAGGTTTATTTTATAAGTTTTGCCCACTCTTGGCCAGATCACACATTTTCTAATCTGTAAACGTTCCTCACTTACCTTTGCTCGATCACCCTCTGCCGCTAATTATTTTTATGTTTTTTTGCAGTAATTATTTATTATCGTGGTCAACTGAAAATGGATGAATTTTCAAATGTTTAACAGTGGGATCGATATAATGAAAAAAGAGAACATGAAATGATAGAATTCAAATTTCTTGTTTTCTTGTGCTTTTTCGAGGTTAAAAATCTTTTACATTTTTTAAATGCTGCTTAGGAAATGTTCAAACAATATGAATAAAAATTTAAAAATCTTTTGACAAGTGCTTTTCAATTCATTTGTTGAATTCATTGAAATATTCAATTCCGAGTGATTCATTCAACGGAATTTTAAGCGGAAGTTGTTATAGAAAAAAAAAGATTAATTGATATTTTTTAACAATGCAAAATAGCAAGCAAGAAATATATTCATATTTTTCGTTCAAAAATTCAAATTTTTGAACCGACACCTGCACAATACAATAGGACCCATTCTTTTATAGTCATTGGCCTAATCGGGGTTGGGAGCTAGGTGAGCCCATTGAGCGTACTTTGCCCATGCCTGATTCAGAAGATATGTGATATGCTTGTATGCGACATCAAAAGATTATAACATAAATATTCATGACAAGGCGGAAAGTACATTGAGGTACGCGCGCAAAAAATCGGTGGACTGTAGAATGCTGGGGTGGTATTTTGCGCGGTTCCCTTGACTTAAAACTTTTTTTTCTCCCGTGGGAGTGCGTGGCATTAGTTCTGGTGGATTTATGAACACACAAGCGGCGGGTGGTTCAAACGATAATTCCATCTAACAGTTAATACCTCCAAATAGAATATAAAATCGAATAATAAAGACATGAACAATCAGAGGGTACGAGGGTTATGGTTGGAAATTCTAATAGTCAATTAATTCAACAATGATTGGGACAATAGACGGATGTTGTGAAGTTGTGACGTGATTAATTTAACCGATAGAATTAACTTTTTTTCTTCACTGCCAGCAGTTGCAAGTCCCCCTACAGTGTTTGTGTTCCCTTGAGATTTAGTCCCAACAATAGCAGCAAAAGAAGCTGCGACAGATATTGTGTAGGTTGTTAATGTCGAACTCCGCCAGCTATCTTTTACCAATTGTCTTTCTTCCTACCCCCAGTCGTGGGTGAAGTTCTCCTACATCCAATCTTCCACATTTCCCGGGTGAGGCATTGATGGCATTGAGGCATTGGTAGTCTTGTCGACAAGTCGACTAGGGCTTTCTCCAAGTTGGCAATAATTTTCGGTGGGTCTTGAGACCTGCTGATCAAAACTACTCGCCAAAATGTTTGTTCGTTACCTCTTGATTTGTTGAGGTGTGCCAGCACTCTGGGTATCAAGCTTAGTATCGGGAATACCCATGCCAGCTTGAAATACCATCTACGACTGACGGCGCCGGTTGAGCCTGCGCAAGGATCTTTGCAAGTCCATCGAGACGTAACGATTCACTACTCTAAAATACACCCAACAAGACGCACTTTACATATAAAAATTAATGAAAAAAAGTAGGCTTTTAAATGTACGTATATCAGAATGTCGTTAATACATGAGTTCTGTTATTTCCCCATACAGTTTTAAATATTTCATGTATTGTATCGATAGCTGACTAATAGGTGGGTACCATGGAATAAATATATACATTTTTTTTGGTAAAGTAAACATTTATTTTTATGCCCCAGCGGAAGTAAAATGCGCGGTCCTAACCTCGCTTCCCTCGGTTTGATTGCGCTTTTTATCCCTTGCAGCATAAAGTAGCATAGCACCCTCATTGAAAAGCATTTTCTCTCGGGGCTGCTTAATATACTATTATTACAAGAAAGGACGTCTTTGGGCTAGTCGTCAGCGTGCTGGCCCTATGACCAAAGCGTCCCGGTAGCGCAGGTTCGAGTCCCGATGGTGAAAAATTTTTCATCGTCGGAAAACGAACCCAGTGCCTGTGGAAGTTAGTTATAAGGTAGCTAGGTGAAAGTGCGGGTAGGGAATTAGGTTGGGGTACCGCGTAGGTACTGGGAAAGGGTTGGTAAAAGATCCACTAGGGTCATACCATCTGGC